CTTTTGAGTCTGGCAGTACTGATGGCAAAGATGTTTCAGTAATTGGTGCTTTGAATAAGCCTCCTGAACAGCAGGCATCTAAGTTTCCAAAAGAAGCTAAGGAAGGAAACTTGAAAAAATGCTCTAAGAAATTGCCATTCAAGAAAACTGGTAGTTCTTCTGATGAAGCAGATGAGGTTGAAAGTTCTCACAACCAGAATCTACCTTCAAAGATTGCTAAGAAAATGGAAAATGAAGATGTTGTGGCTAAAGAGAAATCAGAAGCTGTGATACTGGAATGCAAGGTAAAGTTGAAGGACATCTCTGAAAAAGACAGAAAGAAGAAGGGATTCCGAAGTAAGGCATTGTTGGAAAATTCCATCAAGGAGTCTGAAGATTCCACAAGTAATGTGAATCACTTGGCAGACAGCAAAAATGTTAAGAAAGGAAAGAAGAAGAGCCCAGTTGGTAAAGATGAATCAGAAGTTTTTCAAGCAGAAAGCTCTGGAGAGGTCATTTTTCCTGCAGCAGCTAGAAAGAAATCAAAAGGAAAGAAAAGCAAGCCGTCACCTTTACAAGAAAAGTCACAAAAAAAGAAGCTTTCTAGTACCAAAAAGTCAAAGTCAGGCTATGATGTTATGGCACCAGAGCCTGGGGAGGATGAAATGGAAGGCAAATCTGAAGCAAAGGAGGAAAGTTCTCAGAAGGAACCAGAGATCTTCACTATTCATGAGATGACAAGCTCCAATGAGAAATCCTCAGAAAGAGAATTCTGGACCAGGGAAGACAAAGATGAACCACTTGGTGACATGAGTTTTCTCATCAACATCAACTCTCAAATCTCCATGTTTGTTGCTGATGCTTCACAACAGGAATGTGAGTTGCAGCCCATGACTGCCAGGGAACGCAATGATGTGTACAAAGTCACTCAGCTTTATAAAGTGCGTGCAAGGATTGGAACCAAGACTGAAAACAACCTGACAACAGTGCGCCTGTCCAAGCAAGCTGAAACAAGAATGCCAAAACCTGGCAGAGTTGACAGCTTACTGAGTAACCTAAGTATAATGGCATGTAAAGAAGCAACAAGGGAAAGCCCTAAGAATCAAGGAAAGAGAAAGCACACTTCTCCTATTGATGGAAGTATGCAAAGTACAGCTGAAGACCATCTTGAGCAAGCTACACCTCCAAAGAAGAAACTTACTGAGCTTTCCAAGGCCAATTATTAAATAAGCCAATGCTGGGACTTGATAGCCATGAGGATACTGTAATGTACAAAATACATTTACTATTACCAAAAGCAGTAAAACATTGGACATTAGATGTTGCAAACATTATAAATGAACTATTTTATTTGACAGATTTCTTCTGGCATATTGTCTGTTCAGTTATAGATCACTAATGACATCAAAACGTAGAAAGAACAATAAAAGGCCACAAGAGCCCTCAGTGAGTGTTAATTAATGCATTAACTCTTTTACTTCCCATTTGTTACCGAGACAGAATGTCTCCTTACAATATCAATACAGTACCAAATTCCCTTCGATAACATGTGATCTTGGAAGTGAAGGGATTAAAATGTTACGTCATGTGTGGTATATAGCTAAACAGACATTTAGCATCCAAGGTTTTCCCTTAGTTTTAATCAGTTTTTCATTCCCTATGAGGGCTTAAATGTATCCAGGATACTATTAGCTTAGTTACAATACACCATATTACCAGTTGAAGGAATTGAACATAGTTTTAGTTTTCAAGCAATGCAGAAACCTTGGCATTTAAAATTAAAGGTGAATGATTGCATGCAATGGCACTTTTCTTAGTGTTTGGCTTTCTTTACATTTTAATAACATTATATTAAGATTTCTGAAAAAATCTGGATTTGAAGGAATTTTTTTTTCTGAAATGAGAGTCAAATCTGGTAGCGAAAGTAATTTCTCTTAAAAACATTCCCTTTTATAAACAGACATACTTTCACTTACTTCTTTTAAACAAAAAATTTAGACCTCTTACTAATTTGTTATGAAATCAATCATGCCACTCTAGTTATCTGCAATGGCTTTTACAGCTGTTTACAATAAAATATATCATGAACATCGCATCTAAATACACTTGATGTGAGTTCACCTGTCTATCTTTAGAATATGGGTTTGAAATAGCCTATTTAAACTAGTAGGTATTTTATCATATATCAATTTGCTTTTTGAAAATCTAGCATGTTTCTTTATAGGACATTGCAAAAAGTAGAGTTGAATCTTGTTGCTTGTATGGCCAGCTCACACAGTGAAAGGAGGGAGGGTGGATCATAAAGAGCACAAAACTTGATAACAGATAACTACAAAGAATAAAAATTAATACTTTATTTGGAAATGCAATATGTCTTCTAAGCTAAGGTTGTTACATCTTGAAGGGAAATTTTTAAGGCCTCAGAGGGGCTTTGTCACTATTTTAACTGTTTGTTTTTCAGTACTACAGATCGCCTTCAAATTAAACCTTAGTTTTTGTGTATAGTTTTTCAAGATTTTTAAACTATGACAAAGCTCCTTGGACATATTAAATATTGCTAAATTTGTTATGCAAGTGTCAATAACTGACTTACCACTAAAACTCAACAATTTGTGAGATGATGCCACATAACACTGGTTTATGTAATAAAATTATGACGTGTGAAATGAGGAAATAATTTTACACATGTTCTGTCAAAATTCTAATAATTTTCAGAACCTTTAGACAAAGAAAACTTGAAGAATTTAAACAAATGCAAATGAAATTATTACCGTATTCCACAAGTATACTGTTTGATTATGCTTATAATTTCAACGACTTGTTACAAATTTCAAAGTTAAATTCCATAACTTTGTGTAAAGCTGAACTCAATCTAAGATGTTCAAAATTATTTTTGTAAGAATATATTACAAGAGTTACTTTAAAAAGTGACTGGCAAACAAAAACACAACTGTTACAAGTCTTTCAAAACCTACCAGAAAGCCTAAATGTCAAAAATCGTAACTAGTTTTAATGGGTAAAAAATCATAACTAGTTTTTTTATTTATTTTTTATTTATTTCAAATTCGAAATATTGATGATTAAAGTGACACCGAAATCCAAAGTGACTACATGATCTACAATAACTTAAACTTGATTATCTAATAAAGGTTTATGATCAAGTTTCCAATTAAATTCTCTTAAAGCTTTGACTTGTCAAACTGATGAAACCATGTTAAGCTGAACTACTTGAGACTACTTCTTAATGAGAAGGCATAAGAAAATGTTCTTGAATAAAACACTTTGTAATACATAACATGAACTGAAACCCTAAGCAATGCAAATAAAAGACATCTAGAAGACTTCCTAATGAAACAATTTGAATGCTTCACTCTGCCAGATGAAATTTTAGAGTGACACTTGAACACAACATTTGTTCTAGTTTTGTATTTTAAGATAATCTCATATGAACTTAGAGCAGAAACTTGTTTTCTTCCAATAACCTGAAAGCACAAGGAAACCCTCATGACAAGTGGTTTGAACTTAGCTTGTCAAGGGATTTTTTTTAAGTAATCGCATAAAAATGAAATCTTTTTTTAAAAAAAAAGGGAGGGTTTTTAGGGATAATTTTTGAACAGAAGTGATGATCTCACTACTATCAGACATACATAGGTAAGAACTTCATACTATTTACCAATCAAATGTCACTGATGATTGGATTGCTGTGCAGTCTACCTTGTCAACAAAATACTATTATGAACAGAGGAAATCTGAGTGTCAGATCATACTGCTACAACAAAACATCACTTCTGTGCTTTCATTTTGGTTCTTCCTATGCTGGCAAGTCAACATGTTGGCAACAATACCTAGCAGATGAAAACATAGTAGAGTCAGCAACATAATAAATATGAATGAATTTACACAAAGGTGCTGCAGTAGTCACCATTATATTCCCAAAAAGTAAAGTGAGAAACCACATAAAAGATTACATCATTTATGTGTGTCTATAAAGAAATCTGTGTTTCTCAAGTATTGAAACAAATCATCCCAATCTGAATGCATAGTAGAACCCTGCTAACTTAAACTCCCAAGAGAAAGTGAAAAATTGAGTTGGTAGGATTGGTTCAGTTCATGTTCAAACTTGGAGGGTAAATTTGAGCCAAGGACAACTAGAATTAGTTAGATTTAAAGGGGATTTTAAGTGAACTGATAGTAAATGACTTAGAAAATGGGGTCAAATCCATGGGGGAAATCAGACCTGGTTAAAATTAGCGGGATGTTCAAGTCAACTGAGTTTGAGTTTGCGGGGCTCTAATGTAGGTCTCATTAAAGAAGTCAGAGACCATCTCCCTCACCATTTGTCAGGCAAACTGGAGGGGTTACTATCATCAGGTAACATATGCCACTTTTTACAGTTTTCACACTGAACCCAGCTGTCACATGAAGTGGAACCCCACTCAAACTTTGTCTCAGCTCCAGAGGCACCATCCTGACATGAACTCTTGATCTGGTCTTTGAGACAGTTGCTAACTTGGTCTCCATCTTCTTTTTGAGTAACTCCTTTTGTTATCATCTTGACGTTATCTTCAGAAGAGGTGCTTGCTTTCTCTGTTGTCCCTGGTGCAGTTGTTCCTGACTTAACTTCTGTCTGATGACCTGAAGTTTGCAATAATAATAAAAAAAGGGATTGCAGACACCTTTTAGTGCAATGCCCATTGAAAATCATTACACAAATCTAACGCAGAATAATGGTGACTCCATCTTCCTTCTCAATCACCAGACTTAAATCCTATCATCTTGTCCCTGAAATTTTCTTGACTCAAAGTCATTATATTTTCATACCTAAAATGCTGGAATTTGTTCTAATTACTCCTTAATTATTTACAGATGTCCTAAGATTTCTAAGGACATTTTAAAGATGTTCCAAAGGGTTCCCAAAAAAAGCCAGCTTCATAAAATCAGAGGTTTTGAGGAAGTATGAACAGATTCTAAGACTTGACATTTCTTCATTGATTTGAACAAGTTTTAACAGTCATACCCTAAAACAGTGTGTCAGTCCAGGCATAAATGCAAAATTTTTTTATTGGGCATAAAAAATCTGCCATTGGCAGGAATAAGCTGGGATCAAACACTTCAATGTATGAATTCAGACCATACCTTTTGGTTTCAAATTACTTTGTTTGCAAGATGCATCTACCTTCTTTGTGACAGGAGTTTTTCCTTTGCCATTTGCAGTTGTGTTTATAATGGTATTTCTGAATCATGAAATGAAGTTAGTATAGGTGAAGTATTCAGCATTCCTTACAGTTCCATACATGTAGGTCAAAAGTTTGTCATCAGTGACAAAAACACTTGGCTTATGCAGGGCATGAAATTATTATTCTTTTTCTAATAGCCACTTGGCTCCTAAATTTTTCAAATTGGTAGCCAATTCAAAAAAAGTTTGTCACCATTTTAAAAGACAAACAAAACCTTTTTTTACACTGTCAGCGTTCTAGATAGACTCTCTAAAATTAAGTTAGGAAAAAGATCTTTAACGTGCTACAAAGTGGACACTAGGATAGATGATATACAATGTTCAAGCTCACCTAAAACAAAGATTGTGTCTAGTTATCAATTGAGATGCATGTACTGTGTTCTGGAAACAAACTTAACGAGGACGTTTGCCATGGATTTATTTTTTCAAATCTTTTTAATTCACTATATCTCTAGGTAAGGTTATGAAGAAGCATTCTAGTCACCATTTTGGCGACTAATTTTCAGGATTTGGTCGCCAAAGTGAACAATTTAGTGGCATTGGCACCTGTATTTGGCACAATTTCACACCCTGTTATGTGCCAATCAATTGTAAGAGCTTCAACACCACCCCCTCCCCTTAGGCATGTGGGGGTGGGAAATTTGAACCTTGCCTGGCTGGGGTGGGGAATTTGAACAGGAAGTGTCAAATCTTTCCAGCAGCACCAAAGTGTCATATCCCTAAATATGGAGGTGTTAAAGGTTGGTAGTTCACTTTCTCATGCGAATGGCTCAGAGAAAAAGGTCAAGGTTATAAATTTTGGTCAATGTGTAGAAAGTTGCAGTTGCTGATTTTGCCTAAAATATTGGGTGGGGCATTTGAATAAAATTTTTGACATGTGGGGGAGGGGGGAGGGAAATTTGAACAAAAAAAATCTTTAAAAGTTCAAATGCCCAAGGGTTTCACAAGGGGGGATGTCAAAGCTCCAAATTGATTGACACATTACATACAAATGAACCTGTAAGATTACTTGCTGATTTACTTACTGCCTAAATTACTCACATTGCTGGTGTTGAGGAACACCTTGTTATCAAAATACTTAGTAAAGATATTAACTCTGTTGCCAGTTCACATCCAGCTCTGAAGTTATAGGCTTTAGTGTGTAATCCAAAATATCACAAGATTTACAGATTTGGAAACCCACTTTTGTTTTCTTGGAAAGAGAATGGAACACCAAATTATAACGATTAGCATGCATTCGTCTCTAACCAACAAAAGCAAGATCTTTCATGTACATACCTGTGTCGTAGATTGTGAGAACCAATCCTGAAAGAGTGTATGATGAAGAAAACAGAATAAAAAAATACATATTTTTGTCTCTCACATGCCTGTAAGTATCAGCTACCTGAAATTACTACTCAAATATTTTAAAAAAATTATTAGTGATACGATTCTTTCACATAGTTTTCAAAATCTATGTCAATTTAAAACTTATAAAACTCTTTTTTTTCTTTGAGTTTCTTTTTCTAACCTGTATCCTTGACCCCAACCATCTGGCTTCTCACTTCTGTTGGTTGAGGCTTGGGCCAGGGTTGTTTCTTTCCTGGTTTTGCAGTACTTGAAATCTGGATATGACTCTCTTGTCCTTCTCATATCTTCCCTTGCTCTCTCCTTAAATGGCTCCTTCTGCTCAGGGGTCATGCTTCTCCAATGTTTAGCAAGAATGGTGCTAATCTCGCGGTTATCTCTGCCAGGATACTGTGTCTTGAATTCTCCACGGTATTGCTTGCTAAACCAAAGGAAAGCATTCATGGGCCTTTTGATATAATTAACAGGTGTTTCAGTAGTGCTTTCATTTTCAGAGGGGCGAGCTACAGCCTCCTCTTCTATCTCTGACCCTTGGCTGCTTAAAACTGAGAATGGTGATGTAGAGCTTGCCGCCATGCTTTCTTCAATGACAAGTTCAGGGGTGCTGCAAAGGCTGTTAGATGCCTCAGAGAACATAGCTGCATCACTTTGTTTCCCAGCTGTGCTGTGAAAACAGTTTTGGTTCAAGCTGGACATGCCACTGTTTTGTAACATAGCTTGCAAGTCCTCTGTTTTCAGTCCTCTCTGGAGATAAGCCTCTCTAATGTTTTCTTGAAGCTGCGTGATGTGACTAACTGCAGTTTCAAGTATTTCCCTCCTTGAAGGATGACCATTTCTCAAGTCTTTACAAGGTAAAATTGCACTCAGATTTTGAAGTTCATCTCTTATGGCACTCTCTCTTTCTTTCTGCCTGTATATGAGAAGATCCAAGAATTCATAATTTTTTCCAGTAAATATTTCCAGGTTTAGAGTTGATAATGACTACTTTAGATGCACAATTAATATCTTCTTTGAATACCTTTAACAACCCAGTGTAGGTAAATATTTTACAAAACTAATCAATGAAGGTTGGTTACATTTCGAAAAAAATTGCAAAAACAACAGAGATCAAACCAATGATGCATTTTTTTGATGGGCATTAGTATTCAGTGCTTCAAAAAATGTTTTTCTACCTATCCCAAACTACAACCAATTCACTATTAGAGAGTAAAAGACACTCTCAGATTATCCCATGAAAAACTCTTTCTTAATTAGGAAGTTGTTACTTACACCATCTTTTGCTTGACATATGCGAGTTTGTCAACTATTTTTTGGAGCTTTCCTTTTCTTTGACTCTGACCCTTAGCATCTGAAGCAGACTTAGTTTTCTTTAACTTCCACGGTGTCTGAGTTTGAACTGCTGTTGTAATAGAACAGATGTCACTGAGGGGTGTATATCAAAGGGACAGACTGAATTTTCCAGTGGAGGAAAGGGTGGGATGGCACACTCTGGCAACCAACCCACATTTTTCTTGTTTGAGACTGAATTATCACCTTTTCCGTCTAAGAAGAGGGAGTCGCATAAACCCTTAGATACCCCCCTAACTGGTGACACCATCCCTTGATAAGGGTTTGCTAAGTAAAATAATAAAAGAAGGTCCAAGAACTGATCTAAATTCTGTTCCAAATTGATTACAGTTACCTTTGATGTTGGTGCTTGCTACAGTAACTTGTTTACACTTGTCAGGTAAAATTGTGGGTGTTGCATTCAATGGACTTGTTTCTTCTGTCATTGGACTAACGCTTTCTCTCAAAGTTTTCGAAGTTCCATGCTAGAAATGAAAGAGTACTGTCGAAAGATTTGCGTGCCCAGTGATGACAAAATTTAAAAATTAAAAAAAGTGCCTTTTTAATTTGTTGTTGTTGTTGTTTTGTTTTCATGCTCTAACTTTAAATTGCTATGTTTGAATTTGTCCCTGTTGGTCAGGATTTTTCACAAAACTCTGTTGTCAATAATAGATGCAATTTAGGGTATCATGCCATAAATAAGAATTCTTACTGATGTGTTCAAAAATTCTGAAACAGGAGGAAGAGGCAAGTGAGGTTTCCATGGTGATACTGCAATTAAAAAAAGTCAGGTTCATTAGGTTAAATTTAGTCCTTGACACCAACATGTTTAAGGTGAAAGTAATTTTTCAAAGATTTTTGGCATTCAAAAGTAAGATTTAAATGCAATGGAACAGAGGGCAAAGAATGATGTTACCTTCTGTGCTTGACGTCACTTTTGAATCTTGTTCAATAACATCACCACTAACATCTAAAGCTCCAAGCTGAATACACAATGAGATAAACATGTTTTCAAAATAAGACAATTGAAAACATGGCAAGCATGTTCAAGGGGGGTGTACATATCAAACAATACAGATTTGTAGGTACGGCTCATACAATAAATGACCCCTCAGCAAAACCGATGGATTGAATATTATGAGTAATAAAAGACGAGGAAGATAAGAATAAAACAATTTACCCCATCCATCAGAGGGGAGTCTCCATACCAAACATCACTGCTGTGTAGATTATAACTACTGCAAAAGAATACCGAAAATAACATTCAAGGCAACATCAATAGATGATATAATTCAGGCCAGGAAGATGTTGCCCGATGCACAATCCCCCCACTTACTAATCAACCTCTTAAGAAAGATAATGTGGAATAAAAAAACACTTCCTTTTTAACTGCTGTCTCCATATAGGAGGCCCATTGACACCCTATCCAGTAAGAATTTATAAAAGATAAGAAAAGCCAAATAAAAAGAGGCAAGCAACAAAAAGAGCGTTGTGGACTACATTTCAATCATTTGTTGTTCCAGAAAGTTTATCAGTATGATATGACAATGCTGTAATTTCCCATTTTCTTTTAGCTTGTGTTCTGTGGGCCAAGAGTGCATCTGTGATAAAATGAAAACATTTCAAAAGTACTTACTTGAAACTCTGTGGTGTGACAGGATGGTGCCAATTTTGTGGGAATGTATAATGATGAACAGTGTGTGCATTGCCAGTTGCTATAGGTAACTGAAACTGCTGACTAAAGGATATGGTGGATTCAAATCCCCATGATGGGGAAAACATTCTGTTTTCTGGAGAAGGTCCTTGCCAATCTGTTAAAATAAACAATAGCAGTGACACAAAATAATAATTTTTCCAAACACCAAAAACATTGTTGAGGGAAAAAGGTTAAAAATCATGTGATGCATTATCATCCCAGACAATTCACCTTCTTAATCTTCTTTTCAGCAAAAATGCTCAGTTTGTCATAAGGCATAACATTTGAATTCATGTTGCTTAACATTTTTCCTTTTTTCACCCCACAATTGAAATTACTTTATTTGGAAAAACGTGATTTGATGATGATTTAAGATAAATTTTGCAAAGAGAGCATCTCCTTGACCCATTCACTCCCATAAGCGACCAAAACAGAATTTCTCCTTACGTTATCAATGCAATAGTAGGCAGGCGAGTGATGAGATTTAAGAATAATAAAAAATATCAATTAGGGGATTATTAGCTGATTCAATACCAAGTTTTCCAAACCAGCATTGTCAGAATTTTATGGAAGACAGTAAGGAGAATTATTTATGAGATCTTAGGAGTGAAAGGGTTAACTCAATAAAATTTTCAC